CTTGTGGTCAAGCCAGACAAATAGCCAAATCACACATTCACTCAGAAAAAGTCTGACTTTATTTTAAAATTCAAATAGATGTCAGTGCTAATTCTTAGGTAGATAGGTACCCTACCAGGCTCCTGGGTAAAGGACGGCCTTGTCTCCTTAAATATTCCTTACTGATGCTCTCTGCGTTGCTGTCTTGATTCTCCCTCAGGAGGCTGCTCCCCAGCTGTCCCTCCGTTTAATGCCCTCGAAGTTTTCACACCTTGAGGTGATGTACCAGAGTAAAATGCATGACAGGAGATAGGTCCATCTTTCTTCTCTAACGTAAAGGGTCCTCGTTTCGGGCAGGTGGGAATGGGGAATCGGCAGTCCACAAACTTGAAATGCATAAAAATGGAAGTTGAAGTTCTGGAAACGGATTCCATTTAAGCTGTCCCTGCCTGTGTCCCCCCTAAGAAGTCTCTGTGCACCCCAGGAGTATGTGCTCCTCAGTGTGAAGGCACCTGACCTGGGACGAAATCAGAGAGGAGGTTTTAGTTCCTTTCACGTGGCTACCTCTTGTTAGGGTTTTAGAAAATTCACCTTCCACTTAAGATAGTCAATGGCCACTTCGTTTCTTCACAAGGTTCCCAGGTTCTTCCAAGCAATATCACTCTCCAAGAGGCAGTTTCACCCGAAGAAAGGATCCCATCAAACACTTAGATAAACCCTTAAAAACAAATGTGGCTCCCAGTTGCCCTCCCCCGGGTGCTGGGACAGACTTAAGCTTTTACAGAAAAGGGACCAGGACCTCAGCTCTGGTCACTGAGCTGCGGGTGATGTGCTGCCAAATGCCCAGCAAGGGGTCTGTTTAATTCTAGGATGTTGCTCCATCGTTCATCCCCATATGTTTACAACTGCAGCTATTATTACCAACAATAATCACAATCATAGCCTCTACACATTCAATTGGTGCCCTGAACGCACGAGACATGGTGCAGACCTCATCATTAGACAAAGCACCCCTAGTATTTTAAGACTTGGACTCTTGTGATTTGTAGGCACCCTGTCTGGCACTGTGCTTGTCTAAAAAAACTCTAAGTCCAAATTCTTTAGCAATTAGGTCATTTGATTTTCTTGTGAGTTTGGCCTGAAAAATAGTAGCATCAATAGGGCAGAAGCAGATTCACCTTTGGGGAGCCCCAAGCTTACACAGTTTGGGGCAAACTCATTAAGAAAGAGAATATAAAATTGCAAATAGGCTTCAGGGCTCCTGCAAGCTTCAGTTTCTTCAGCTCACAGCAAACCCACTCTCTGCAGGAACAGCAGTCAGGTTTCTGGCCGAGTGCCTCATGCTGAGAACACACATTTGAAGGGATTCCAGGCACGGATGGACCTCGAGAGCCACACGCTTTCCAATCTCTGGAGTCTTCACGATCTACCATGTGGAAGGTGAGTCAGACCCTGAAGACAGTGAGAGGCTCTCTGCTGAAAGCTGGCTCCTGTTCCAAGACAGAGGCTGCAAACTGGTGGGCTCGGGCCAGACTCTGTCTGCAGATAGGTTGTTGTGGGAGTGTTTTGTCTTCTTGTTCAGTGTTTCTTCAAAATGTGAATTAAACTTGTCAAACTTTAAAAACCATAAAATTTCAAATAAGAAGCTGACTTCCTTTTTTTTTGTTCTCTTGAGAAACTGAAAGACCATTCCATGGTGGACTCAGACTTGACAAAATGACAGCTTTAGAGGAGCACGTGCTTGTTCGGCGGCCCAGTCCCCACCTGGGGACTTTTTCATATTTCCCTGACCTTGGACACGTCTGATTCATGACAGGGCCCTTGTACAGGCCAGGCACCTCACCTGCCTCGCACTAGGTGTGCTCTGTCCCTGTCCTAATCCTTTCAGTCTCTGATTTCTAATCTTGTTGATGTCCTAATGACTTTTTTTCTTTTAAAATAGTGATTAGCTGTGTGTTATCAATACTTCCACCCCATTTTGTTAACGCCATTGTTTTAGAAGTCTTTTGCTTTTTCAGCTTGCACTTGGCCATTCTCAAATTAGTTCATAAAGAACAACATATATTTATTACAAATATCTTCACTTTTGTGCTCGATTTCACACTTCATGTCAGCTGCTTCTGTTTTTTAAAAGTGATACATAGAGTATTTAATTTTTTAAAAATTATATTGGAGTAAAAAAATGGTCAGTTTGGGAATTACAGGCCTCCTGTTGACACCAGTGGGAAGTCTGGATAGGCGTAGGGCCGAGAACTGTTTCTTTGGATGGAATCTCCTGCCAGCAGGGTTGTCATCGCCCTGTCACTACGGGGAACTCTCTTCTCCCCAGTGCACGTATCATGATACTTTGCAAAAGGCAGGTTCAGCCTTTCATTGTGGCCCTCCACACTGCTGTTCACTAAATGTTCTGCAGAAACTCCTTGAGATTTTGCGTGGAAAAAAATCAGAATTAAAAGGAAAAAATGTGATGGAATTTACTGTTTGATACCTTAAATGCTTTTTGAAAAAAGGCTTAGTATCAATCAGTGTAGCAAGCAACAGAAACATACTGACAATTCGTAATGATGTAGTTAGCTGACAGGCAGATACCGATTAGATTGTCTATGAGAAAACTCTCAGTTTACTCGGGCGAAAAAAGTCAATAGTTTTTTTTCTGTGTAATTCCCCTGCATTTAGATTCAAGTTTCAAAGAAGTTCTGTTTGGGGCATTAAACTTATACTTTAAAAGTCTATGAAAACTGCAGTTTAAAAATATTAATTCCCAGTAATTATTTACTTCAAATTAACACACAGCCTATATAGTTGGAAAAAGAAAAGATTTTTGGATATATATTTTATTTGACAGTGTTTTAGAATATCATACAGTAAACAAGATTTCTGTAAAAGTTAATTTATCCATAGTGGTGCGTTTCATAAAAATAGTTGCTCACTTACAGTCTTTCTGTGACTATTAATACATGGAATTATATTTATAGAGATACAGCTGTACAGGGTAAATTCACAGCTAACACTACACAGAAATATTATTTGGAATGGGATTTAGAGGATGTGCTGTCTTCACAGGTGATGGATTACAGCCGCATAAAGCAGTTACTGCACAAGTAGCAGCTGTGGACTGTGCCGATTAGGGTTTATGCAAGCGTAATCTCAATTTCTTTATCCTTTTGCAACACATGGAAAATAAAGGTCAGAGGATACAGTACCAGGACGTGCAGCTACACTACAGAAGCGTTGTCCAAAACCAGATTCAATAAATTAATGGCAAACTATACCGGATTTCCAGTCCAGGGGAGAAAGACTAATTGAGATTAAACTAAAAGTATTGTAAACCGCTACGTGTGTTTGTGCTTTCGTTTATGATGAATGGGTTCCACTTTTGGAAATTGCTTTTACAAGCTGCAAGACTCTTCACTTGAGGCTTTCAACCATATTCTCCTCCTGTCAAACGACTGAACTACTCCTATGCCTGAGGGAAATTAAAAGGCTGATGCTCAGGACACCACAGTTACACAGAGAAGGAAAGAGTCAACAGAGGGAGGCTACTACGTGTGACTTTGTGTAACGGACCTGATCTCCCGGTTTTACTCATTTGACGACAAGCGCAGGGAAGTGAGGCTTATCGGCAGGCATTTGAACTCCTGAAAGGGGCAGACTCTGGGAAGGATGAAGCCTCATTCATTCAGGCCATCTTAAAGAGAAACTGCCCTCAGAAACATTTTGCCTTTTAATATGTAGCTACAAATGAGTACCAATGGATAATTAATTGAAGGTAACATTTTACAAAGAAATATTAAAACATCAGGGAAGAAAGGCAAGCCTTAGAACTTTACTAGGGGATCCACCACAGATCTAAGATAAACAGGAACATCTAGAGGTTGCTAAAGAAATAAAAAATTGGCAAAGAATATGAGACGAAAAAGCAAACCAAATGGAAATAAAAGGAGAAAGAATAAGGAAAGAAAGATAAGCAGCACAGAATGCTAAAGAGATTCATGTTCTTTAATGAAAATAAATTGGTCATAATAAGGATTTTTTAATATTAGGGATTCATTATAATCTGAGAAATATAGGAGAAATACTTTGCCTCTGTCCTATCAAAGTGAAAATGAAGTAATGGAAAGAGGGTTTAAAAAAAGACAATAAAATAAGTGAAATATTACATTGCTGTCGAAGCTGCTATCTCTGCTGGTCTGAGACAACAGGAAAGCCTTTCCATAAAGGAAGTGCAGCGTTGCCAATCTTGATTCAACAAACCGTGGTCCTTCAATTATAGAATTCATATTTTAGATGAAAACCAATTAAGATCTATGAGCTAAACTGCAAAATTCTGACTTATGGCAAACTGTTCCCTAGCATACAATTTTTAAAACTTTTTTTTCCTACCACTGAAAATGTACAGAAACATGACTTGATCACAGGAATGGCAGTAGAAATGGCATCACACCAATGAATTCACAAGATTTCTAACTCATCCTGCGGTCGCAGGGAACGTTTCTGCTAATATGGTGATGGATGCCACGGTGAGCCTAGGAAACCTGTCATGGGCGAACAGTTCTGAATGTTTCAAAGAAACCTTGTAACCCCTGTCTAGATATGTCAAGAACAATTTATTTACAACTCTTTAGATCAATTAAAAGATATAATCTTGTCTCAGTTTCAGCTTGCTCCGTGCAGTTTGATTTTTAAGGCGATATTCCAGTTTCTGATTGCTCTTAACTTGTCCAGTTTCTTGATATAAAGTTTGGATGACATCCAAATCTTTCATGCAGTGGGGGGATTTTTGTTTCTTTCTTTTTACTAAAGCTACACTGCACTGTCTCTCTGTGATGTTGTTCACGTTATTTTGGTTCTTCCATAGCTGCCAAAGCCCCCACAGGGGACCCGGGGGCTTCAGGATCAGTTTCGGTCTGCGCGGGGACGCCGCCCGGCCCGCGCTCGTCGGCCACGTGGGACTTCACGTCGGCGCGCCCAGGCCTCGGTGCCTCGTGGATCTATGCGTGTGACAGTGAGAATAAATTAAATCACCGGGAGACGGGACCCAAGAAGAGCGGCCTGCGGGCGCCGAGGCGCGGGGCGCGGTTCACCGGCCCGCGGCGGAGGCGCCGGGCTTCAGGCCGCCCGGCAGCTTGTCG